AGCAGCATTGGACACTTCCTAGAAACGACTGCGCACAAAGCATCCACAAAGCGGCTCCGGGGCAACTGAAGACCCCTGGAAGATCAACCTCACTGAGCTGTACGACAAGTGACAGAGAGTATGAATCAACTGTTGATGGATGTGAGAGTGTCCAGAACAGTTCCTACTAATCGAAGATTTCTCCAGGCTCAGAGGTGCCATCTCCCCGTTTCTCTGAATTTCACTTTCACGAAGCCTCTTTCCTCCTTCCATTCTCTCACATCTATCGATGTGTTATAGGTTCACTTCCGCATCCCCGAATCCTGTCGACCTTACGTTTTGTAGACGAAGAGTTGGCTTCCTAGCCAGGTGCCGTCTCAAACAAGCACGGGGGGAGTTTTCCAACCTTCGGTATACGAGATGACAGGTGGTCCAAGAAGGAAAGCATGCAGATCGGTCTGCTGAGCTTCAGAGTGCTATGTTATAGTGAAAGTTTGTTGCTAATGGTAATGGGGTTCGCGCAGGTCCTGCCTTGAATGATCCGGCCCGAGACAATGTTCCATACGAACGAGACCGTACGAATGATCGATCCGTGCAACAAATATACCCCTATCGTCATATGAGAATAGATTCTCGGGGATGCAGAGTGTACGTGAGGCCTCAATCGTACCTCTGCAAGCCCCAAACTTGAAGGCTGTCATGACCAAACCGTGATCAGTGAAAGCACAACACCGAGCATATTTTGTCCGGACAAAATGGTACCAATCCTATATCCGGAGCAAGGCAGAAGCACCAAAAGAGGAAATAATATAGATGAAGCATGCGGAACGGATGGAGGTATGATCCGCACGGGACCCACATGGTGTACATGGGTTCCCTGAACGCGAAGAAGCTACCTTTCTTTTGCTTCCTCGCGCTACGTCTTGTAACGTGAAGTCCGATTGCGCGGGCGACCCGGTTGCGCGAGCGACCCCACCAAACCTTGAAAAACCTTCAATTTTTAACCACTATTAAAACCACCAAAAAACATAAGTTTGGCTATTGAACACGTGTAGGGCATTTAGAATATGTATGACCTTTTATTCCACAGCCAGAACATGTCACCTGCCGCCGAACCAAGGGCATAGAAGGTAGAGTAGGTTCCGTAACCGGTTTTGCAGGCACCTCTGGTAAAGATATATCTTTGCTTCTATCTTCATCCCCAACAACCACATCATCCTCACCACCCTCTAGACCCCCAAAGATGCCTTTCTGGGTACTAAACTTGTGTTTGGTCCCTCGCTTCTTGGTCTGTTTCTTGTTGGTAGCCTCCAATTGAGTACAGCGATTCTGGAGAAAAATGTGGTGGTGGACCACTTTTATAGTCATCTCGTAAGTCTTATTGATCTCCCTTTTGTTGGTGAAGAAAGGATTGAAGAAGAAGATTGTAGACTTTTTTTGATCCGAGATTGCGATTTTGTAAACTTTGAAAGGGTCCAAAGGGTATCTGGATCACTATCGCTACCGGAAGAGACTGGTCGCTGAGAAAGGATCTCCAGAGGAGGGAGGGAATCCAGGTGCACATTTAGCTTTTCCATGACCTTATTAGCATCGAATGGTGCTAATCCAGTAGCCAAAAAGCTATTCTTTATAGTGGAAGTCTTAAAAGCACCCATTCTCGCATCTGCGATCAGTTCAAGGAAATCTTCCTTGTCAATGGAGTTAACTCCGTTTCGCATCAAAGTTGAGACCGCCCCTCCGTAAAGCCTCTTCAAAACCGAGAAACAACCCACGTCCAAAGGCTGTAAAAGATGAGAAGCATGCGGAGGCATACAGATTGCGATGATTTGGTTTTCTTCACAGACTTGGTCAAATTCAGGGGTTAAATGACTCCCATGACCACCAAGGACCAGTAAGCAGTATTTTCCCACTCTTGTCCCAATATTTGGGATAAAATGATATTTTAACCACCATAAACCAATTGTATTGGTAGTCCAACCATTTAAGCTCATGGTTAGACGAGCCCCTTTTTGATTTGAAATGAGATAGGGTCGTAAATGCTCTGGGAACTGTTTTCCTTTGAAGACAAAGAGCGGCGGGAGAACACTTCCAGAAGCTCTAATACACTCAATCGAAGTCACCCACTCACGATTTCCGGCTTGTAAAAGAGCTCTTTTTCCATGGTATTCTGCTGAAGTGATAATCTTTTGTGTTGCACCAATACCCATGGCAAAACCAGACTCATCAAAGTTGAAGATATCGTCTGAAGCGATACCCCACTTTTCAATCGTCCTTTGAACCAAATCAAACCATGGTTCAATAATTCGAGGGTCTTCTGAAAGAGCTCTCTGATAATCGTATTTGCGAGAGAGGCGAGTAGAGAGATTTGGGCGTCGTTTGATAAATTCAGCAGGCCAATGATTACCCACAGTAGAGGGTGTAGTTTTTCGGGCACACAGTAGAAGATTGGCCATATCTCGCAACATAGGCAAAGTAAGAGCTGCCCCTCTGGAATCCATATCCAGTAGCCATTTTTCAATTGATCCCTCCTCAATTTCGGTAAAAATGAAGCGATTGTGTCGCTTTTCAGTAGCAGATTCGCGCCCATTGATCCGGGCCTTCAAAGTTGAGACAGGTATCTCAAAAGATCGCGCAGCAGCGGCAGCAGAGGGATACTTGCCATTTTTAATAGCTTGTATAGCTAATGAAAGGCGACCCTCCTGCTCTATTAACTTTTTTTCTTATCAGAGCGTTGGGGGGCATTGTTTTTGTGGTCATAGAAGATGCATCATTATTGAAGTGTATTTTTGGTGGGGTCGCTCGCGCAACCGGGTCGCCCGCGCAACCGGGTCGCCCGCGCAACCGGACTTCACGTTATGACATTTAGAATGATGTTGCTGTGGTAATTCCAATACAATCACATGACGTTTTCAATTACCTAATCATGGATATTACATAACGTAATTCACTAGTGAGCTGCGCACCCCACCTAAAACGCGTCAGTTTATTAGACCTCTCTTCTTCAACCACCCACTATGCCACCAATTCGTACTCAATCCTCTCAAAAACGTACGGAACAAGAGGGTAGGATCTTATTAGCTATTCAAGCTATTCAGAAGCAAGAATTTACCTCTTTACGTGGAGCAGCGCGCTGTTTTAATGTGCCGGAATCGACACTCCGTACGCGTCTTCGAGGCACTAAAAACCGCGCTGAAACCCGCGCAAATAATCTGAAATTGACTGAAATTGAAGAGGAATCTCTTCAAAAATGGATTATCTCTATGGACTCTCGTGGAGCAGCACCTCGGCCCTCTACTATACGAGAAATGGCAGATCTACTACTCGCAGCGCGAGGATCTACCCTGGTTACTTCGGTCGGCCAAAATTGGGTTACAAAATTCGTGAAAAGGCATCCTAACCTTTCGTCCCGATTCTCGAGAAGCTATAATTACGAGCGCGCGAAGTGTGAAGACCCGAAAATCATTGAAGAATGGTTTAATCTCGTCCAAAAAACAATACTTCAATACGGTATCGACCCCGACGATATCTATAACTTCGACGAGACTGGATTCGCAATGGGCTTAATTGCGACCGCGAAGATCGTTACGAGGGCTGAATACTACGGTCGGCGAGTACTTTTACAGCCCGGAAATCGCGCGTGGGTGACTACAATTGAGTGTATAAATGCTTCGGGGTGGGCGCTTCCTCCGTGCGTGATTTTTAAGGGCAAAGTCTATATTGAATCTTGGTTCGACGGCCTCCCGGAGGATTGGCGCTTCGAGGTTAGTCCTAACGGGTGGACCTCTGACGAAATTGGACTTCGTTGGCTCGAAAAGCTCTTTATTCCGTCTACTTCTTCGCGTACGAAGGGGAAGTATAGACTTTTGATACTCGACGGCCACGGAAGTCATTTAACCGCGGAGTTCGATCAAATTTGCGAAAAGAACGATATTATCGCAATTTGTATGCCTCCGCACTCGTCTCACCTTTTACAGCCTCTCGATATCGGCTGTTTTGCGGGGTTAAAACGGTCTTACGCTCGGCTTATCGAATCGAAAACGCGTGCTAGAATCAATCATATTGATAAGCTAGACTTCCTCGAAGCCTACCCGTCCGCGCGAATTGAGGCATTTAAATCGGAGACTATTAAGAATAGCTTCGCCGCCGCCGGTTTAATGCCTTATAATCCCGATCGAGTGATTTCGAAGCTCGATATTCGCCTTCGAACCCCGACACCCCCCTCGAGTCGGGGGAGCGAGTGGGATCCAAAAACGCCTTCGAACTACGTACAATTACAAAAGCAAGCTTTCTCAATTAAAGCTTTGCTAAAAGCACGCTCAAAAAGCCCACCGAGCCCGCTTAACTCCGCGATAAATCAGGTTTTAAAGGCCTGCCAAATTACGATGCAATCGGCAGCTTTGCTCGAGAAAGAAGTAAGCGAATTACGCGCTGCAAACGAGACGAAGAAGCGAAAAAGGACTCGGTCTAAAAGGCAAATAGCTTCCGAAGAAGGCCTCACAGTTTTAGAGGCCTCTACCTTAGTAGCACGGCCAGAGCAAGCGGTTTTAGCACTAATACCCCGTGAGGCAGAATCGGCTCCCGCACCTTCACAGCCACGTAAGAGAGCCTTACCGAAGTGCAGTATATGTGGAATTCAGGGTCATAAATTGACTACATGTCCTAATAGAACTCGTTTTTAGCTTATTAAATTTAATGGCGTTTTGGTTGAGATAAATGCATTTAAAATTGATAGGTTAGGTAGGGTGCGCAGCTCACTAGTGGTGCGCAGCTCACTAGTGAATTACGTTAATTAGGAGTGTCCGGAACAAAAGTGGGAGTGTCCCTATCAATTCCCGGCCAATTTACTATCATGCAAGACTTAAATTCACCACCCGATGGTATTCGCTAGAAAGAGTCAATTCCAGTAAGCTGGGTCGGAAGGCGTGACCCTTCTCCTTTCTCCTCTGGAGAGAAATACCCGATCTGGCCAGAGATCTTCGGTTGGAGATGCGGGAGAGACTCTAGTAGAATTCCTGGATGCTTTAGCTGGGGCCTTCTTTACTTCTGGCTTCACTGCTGGCTTCACTGCTGGCTTCACTGCTGGCTTCACTGCTGGCTTCACTGCTGGCTTCACTGCTGGCTTCACTGCTGGCTTCACTGCTGGCTTCACTGCTGGCTTCACTGCTGGCTTCACTGCTGGCTTCACTGCTGGCTTCACTGCTGGCTTCACTGCTGGCTTCACTGCTGGCTTCACTGCTGGCTTCACTGCTGGCTTCACTGCTGGCTTCACTGCTGGCTTCACTGCTGGCTTCACTGCTGGCTTCACTGCTGGCTTCGCTGGTGGCTTCACTGCTGGCTTCACTGCTGGCTTCACTGCTGGCTTCACTGCTGGCTTCACTGCTGGCTTCACTGCTGGCTTCACTGCTGGCTTCACTGCTGGCTTCACTGCTGGCTTCACTGCTGGCTTCACTGCTGGCTTCACTGCTGGCTTCACTGCTGGCTTCACTGCTGGCTTCGCTGCTGGCTTCACTGCTGGCTTCGCTGCTGGCTTCGCTGGTGGCTTCACTGCTGGCCTCACTGCTGGCTTCGCTGGTGTAAGATGCTGCTCCTCGAATCTTTCCGGGTGATGTTTGCGGAGCAATTCTCGCAGTAATCCCAACGGTCGCTTATTCCAATATAGCTCCGCAAACCACAGGATGGGCGCAGTGCCTATGAACGGGTCTGCACCGTTCTCGACGAGTAGACGAACAACTTTGCCGTGGCCATGGATAACAGCTTTGTGCAGAGCGGTTTGGCCGACGCTGTCGAGCTTGTTCGGATCTATTCTATGCTGCAGGAGCAGAAGAACGACATCTGCATGGCCATTCGAGGCTGCTGCACGCAAGGACTCTTCTCCCTCTGGAGATGCTCCGCGTTGTCGGAGAATTTCTGTCACGGCGACTATATCGCCTTGGCGAGAAGCTTCAACTAGCGTTTTCTGTCTCTGTGCAACTTTTGGGTTTTGCTGGAGTGCGTTGTTGGTGGGTGAAGATCGAGTCTCACTCTTTTGCTTGCTTTTATTTCTTCTTAGTTTGGAGAAGACTTTTCTCAGCCGAGTGGATATGGGCATACTCGAAGTGCAGTAAGTGTATGGCGGATGGAGCGGAGAATTGAGGAGCTTCCAGATTAATATACGCTCTTTCCTACTTCCCTTCTCGATCCGATGGTGTGGTTGTGCCGCTCGTATTTGGCTGGACTTCTGATCTCTACTAACTCAGAATAGACAAGTGTCTTGCGCCTCCTCGTATTGCATTCCATTCATGAAGATAAGAAACAAAGACTTTTTAGCGTTGTTACTTGTCTTTTGATCAATAAAGATGGCATAGGTTGCGTTCATCTGTCTGTTCAGTCAAAACTCTGCTGATCGGGTGGATATTCCCCCCACCTTTCCAATCATGCTTCTGATGCGAGATGCCATCGACACGTTTCTAAGTGCAATAAGCTTTCTAATAGAGTCGATTTATGGTATTGCCGTCGGCTTCCCAGCATACTTTATTATCAATCCCATTCTCCATTTTCTGGCTCTCCCATATACTCTTAAATACTTCTCCTCTAACTGGTCTTTACTCTCTTGCGAAACGCAGCCTGCCGAGCTATATCTTCGTCATTTCGAAAGACTCCATCCCGAGCTGATAGAACACGTGCGTGCCGCGTATGCTGCAAGAACAAACAAGCGCCCACCGAGGAAGCTCAAGTTTTGGCCCCGCGAAACGAGTCACATCATTCTACCTCTGGTAGTCGCCATTCGCGAGTGGAAGTTCTCTTGCGCCGCCGGTCTCTTTGCGTTATTAGAGGACTGTGGATGGGACCGAACGCTCTTGTGGACATTCCTCCGAGATCAAGTGGAAAATGCAGGCTTGGTGTCAGCCGAGGAGAAAGTGGCCTTCGCGCGCGTCATGGAGGTGGCATGTTCAAATCGATTTAAGGGAATTCGACCTGCATGGGTACGCTCACTACAGTTTTTACGCAAGTGGACGGGCGAGACGGAACGGAGCTCAAAGATGCAACAGGCTCAGATTGAAAAGTTGAAGGAAAAGTTTGATTCTCTGGGAGTTCCTGTTATTGCAGTGTCTGGGAACTGTATCGACTGGGTATTACAACGGAATGCTGTCCTCGTCTTGGACCAGAATATTCGGGATGCATCGTATAGGATGAAAAACTTTCAACCCATTTGGATAAATGTGAAGAATAGTCAGGATCCGGAGAAGATTTCAAAAAGCTACTGGCAGCAGGTTTCGTTTGGCTGAGGGAAATAATCGAAATTCCAATTGACTCGATTGCCTCGGCGGGGCGGTTGCGAAAGCGCAACCGTATCATTAGTTACCTGGATGCGTCGAGAAAGTAGCTTATCTTCGTCAAAGTTCTCTGCATCGGGACCGTAAAAGATTTCCACAAGGCGTGCTCGTGCAGAAAATACATACTTCAGGGTGGTAAGCTCCCAGTCTTCATCGGTAGAACTATCAGCATCACGTCCTTCAACGTCAGATTTTGCCGAGAAGTTGCTTGATTTGTATTTTGACTTCAGACACAGGCGGATTCTGAAAATGGTCCTTTCTGGCTGCACGGGTATAGTACGGAACTATAGTTGAGCCATAACGGGTCACCTGTCACTGCGGTCGTACACAGAGGGCTTCAAGCATCAGAGGCGTCACAGTGCGTTTGCGACCTACTTGAGGTTAAGGGGCGTACATGCTTCCAACTTGTCACAGGTTTCTACGGATATTGATGATGGTCAGCTTGTTACATTCAGCCTGTTCCGCTATTTCAGATATGGTAAAGGACTGGCTCACTATCATATCACGAATGGGAACGAGCTTTGTAGGAGACAGTCTTGGAGCCATACCGCGTTGATGTGATAGGGGGCCAGGCTGGTGCAATGTGTCGCCTCAGCCAGGAAGCATTGTGGAGCACAATGGCCAAATGGATCATCTTCTTCGCGAAGGTGAGCCACCATGCACCGGAACACCTACATTCAGTGCCTTGGCAGCCATCAAGTCAACTATTCCTGATCTTACCAAGGGTGTGCCTGGAAAGGCTGTTTCAACTACCACGTCTAACTTCGGTTTCCTCTTGTCGTGCTCCTCGCCGTAATTAGGACTATAGATGATACGTATCGAGCGCTCAGGGTTACCTCAGTTCCCTCAGACCACAGCCAATGATGAGACAGAATTCTGCCGATTCTGCCACGCTAACCCGATTGGGTTGCTTCATCAGCCCGTGGTCTGAGCCGGGAACCCCTTCCGTACATACAAGTTTCCGGTTCTCGCCAGCAACCCCACCATTTGGTCAAGGTGTGTTTTCTCAAGCTCTCTGAGAGTATTTCTGACATTGTTAGAAAGAATGGCATCACCGGATTTGCCCAATATGATCTCTAGATCGCGAAAGCGTGCTCGACAATCCTCCCTCGAGTGGCCTTCTTCCAGTTCACCATTACAAGAACCACCTGCGTCTACTCAGCGATCTCGTTATATCTCAGGATTGCAGCCACGCGAACGTGTCGATATGGTACTGGCTGAGCTTAATGATAAGCACCGGTGGACAATCAAGGATCTTCTTTACCACATGGTGCATGCACAACCAGTCAAAAAAAATGGATATTCGACATCGTATCGAGCACAGAAATTGTCTGACGCTATATATGGGCAACCTGAAATTATTGAGCGGCTAGGTAGTGTCTCAAAAGACATATATGCCACTGGTGCATCCGATCTCGTGTCTCGGATACAGACCGAGATTCGAGGGCTGATTAACGGAGATATACTCGGCGAGTTCCAGTCCAATGTGGACCCTAAAGATATGGACATCTCTAGCTTGGCTACGCAGATGCAGAGGAAAGCTCCAGAGCTCTGTGGACTGCTCGTTAGCATCATGACACCTCCAGGAAACCATCGCGATACACCCAAGATCCACCAGGGCAGCATTGTGATGGTCTGTTCAATTCTGGCTTGCGCTTTTGCACCACGGAAAAGCAACAACTTCCCGATGTTGATCGGCTTGTATTTACATGCAATGGGTGTCAAGCGACGTGTGATTAGCTTTCTGGCTGGCCTGGGGATAAACTCAGCATACCAGACTATCATGGACAGACGGAAGGAACTTGCAGAACTAGGACAGGTACTATAACCGCATTTACCGGAGAATAACATGTTCTGGCTGACTTCTTACCCCAAGATGTGTACAGAAACAATTGAAACAGAATGCCCAGGCTTCTCGCAGGAATCTCATTGTGGCATGGGATAACTTTGACTACAGCCAGACTGTTCGACATCAAACTATTCGTGATCCATCAGAGCATATCTCCGCCACCACTGGCAAGCTTTGTATCGGTCAGTCCATCCCTGCAGGAGGGCTTCTCCGATCTATGTTCCATCCAGAGGTTACACTGAGTCCTCATGATATCTACATGGCACCAGGCAATCAGGATGATGAGATCTTCCATCAATGTCAGCGCCATTGGATTGCAGAGGCCATTCGCTATACTCATCGGGAGGCAGTAGAGAAACTATTTACTGCGGAAGCGTGCGTCAAACCAGGCCAGATGAAACCGCGAGCCCATCTTATTGACTGGCCTGAATTCCCAGCAGTTAAACGACTGCAAGCGCAGAAGACAATTCACTACAGCCTTGGGCCAATGTTATACAACGAAGGCACGACAGAGGGGACATACAAGGTCATTCAGAATGTCTTTCTGGAGCAACTGGGGGATGATGATGATACAGACCTTGATGGGCTTTTACAACTGGTTTATGGAGATCAGAAAACAGTGTCACTCCTTCGTGCCGTCAAAAAAGAACGTGCGGAGGCTTCTCGTCTTTTCGATCGTTTCAGCTGGATATTGCCAATCCCCGGACTGTTCCACTGGCGTATGAACTACTTGGATATGATCTTTGAGCTCTATGCTGGGACAGACCACCCTACCGTTGAATCGACGATCCATCATAATAAGGTCTGTCTCGGTTGCGTACAGGGACACAAAAGTCCATTCCACCATAAAGAAGAGGTGGCTACTCGCTCATTTGACGCTCGCGTCACGGCCATGTTCTATCAGTTTGTCCCATTAACAGTCAATTTCGCGGATGCTAAAGATGTGGATGATTGGATTCAAAGCCTCGGAAGGGGTCAATTCCTGGACGTTGTGGATCAGATACGCCAGTCTCTGTTCCATTTTAAAGAGCAGCAGTCTAAGGTTCGTGAACGAGAAGGAGAACCAGTCGACTATGAGTTCTCAGCACATGCGAAATTCCTTCAGCAGATGGAGACTTACAAGTCCTTGAAGCTTGCCATCAAACTTGGTGACATTGGAATTATCCAGCGGATCTTTGCACAATGTTGTCTCCTCTTCCCTGGCACAAAGAAAACCCGATATTCTTTCCTCTCCTTGTATATGACATGGCTCACTCAAACCAAAGCAGCTGATCCCGAGCTGCAGACTGCCATTCTTGCCAACGGACTTGTGAATCTACGGGGTGCGGAGGACGGTTGGTTCGAAATTGATCGACTGAATGAGTTCTTCAATCTTCATATGAAGACACTCATGTCGACTCGACGGACCTCAAATCTGGACATCACTACCATGTTCCGTCGAACTGCTCTCACAGCCAGCTACTGTACTGATCTAAAGGAGCTTCTGGAGGCTACCTTTGGAGAATATAGCAATGGGCGACACCAAAATAAGGATGCTAGCCAGGATGTTCGTCATCTAGCTTATCAGATCTCGAAGTGCATCCAAAAGCAACCAAATGGTCGGACAAGAGGCTTTCAACCATGTGATATACTCACAGAAACAATTGGCGAAAAGCTCTTCAAAGCCGTACAGAACTTCAATAGCCTCGTCGTCAACGGACAGTGGGCACAAGAAGTTGATTTTAGCAAGATGACATCGACTCCTATTGCTGTTCTAGATGAGATTGAAGAGAATGACACATGACACTGAATAGCAGGTTGCTGCCGGGACAGCTTTAGCTATACTTCTCTTCATTCCATTGATAATACTCCCACGCTATATTATAAGGTGACTGACACACATTGATGGAATGCATCAGATGGATTGTTCATCATTCTCTACCAGAC